GAGCTCATGCTGCGTGCACCAGCCTTAGTTGCTCACTCAGTACTGAGGCTCTCGCACCCGGGAATGTTGCCCACGATTTTTTTTTAAATGGCGTCTGTTTACAAGAGCCCTGAGGAAGGTAATGTGAACCCTGTGTATCCACTGCCATTTAAATCTTGCGAAGTACTCCAAAACTGCACTTGTAGTGTTGCTCACTTTTGTGTCAGTTACTCAAAACTTTATATGCAGTTTTGCGCAGTTTAAGTGTTAAAAAGCACAAGGTAAGGTAATTATCAAAAGAAGGCACCAAACCGGGAAGGCTATGTAGCACCATCAAAGTGTGAAATAATCAGAGGGCACTAAATATCACCAAGAATGCCAATACGAGAACAAAAACGCATAAGGCAAACGATATCAAAAGTATCCGATTCACCTAGAATTCTATCGAGGGACAAGTGACCACGAGGGACGGTCGGAAAGCAAGACACACGCTCTTCCTGGAAGTCAGGACATTCAACAAGTATATGCACAACTGTAAGAGGGACAACGCAACTCGGACTATAAGGAGCAGGGCGGCGCTCCATTAAGTGACCGTGGGTTAAGCGGGAATGACCAACCCACAGCCGTGCCAAAGCAGTTTCCCACCGCCGGTTACGGTGGTAGGAGGAAGGCCACGGGGACACACTACGTTTTGAGAGTACGCAGCTTGTTACCAAAGAATGGAAGAATGAATAACAGGATAAAAGTCGGAATAAGGAATACTTTTACGGGAGATGGGACAAGATCGGATAGCTTCCTTAGCGGCAGCATCCGCACACTCATTGAAAGAAACACCAATATGGCTGGGAACCCAGCAAAACTCTACTGATTTAAATTTACTAGAAATAAGAAACAGCCAATGTTGAATCTCGATGACCACCGGATGGACAGGATTAAAAGACCCTAGAGCCATGAGGGCACTACGAGAATCAACTACAACCACAAAGGAGGAATGAGAATGAGAAAGCAAGAGACGAAGAGCATAGAGAATAGCATAAAGTTCTGCCGTAAAGACGCTAGCCTCTGAAGGGAGGCGACACATATAAGTATGGTCAGGAAAAACAACAGAGTAGCCCACACCGTCCGCAGACTTAGGACCCATCGGTGAAGATGGAAATAGAGTGGGAGTGCGAAGAAAAGTGCTCAAGGAAGAAGCTTTTCAGAATAGTAGAAGGGGTAAATGCTTTAGGAATACAAGTCAAGGACGTACAAAACTTGGGAAGGGGGACTCTCCATGGAGGTAAGGAAGGAACAATACGAGGAGAAACATTAGAAATATGAACAGAAAGAGAATCCTGTAAGCGAGATAACCGGACAGAAAGTGGGAGACAATGAAGAGGAACAGGAACCACAGGAGGAGAAAAAGTCAATGCACGACAGAGGCGAGAGGAAGGATGTTGGAAGGACCGCGCAAGATAGCGAGAACAGTAGCGATCACGGCGGTCCTGAAGAGAGAGAAAGCCAGTGTCAACATACAAACTAAGGGCGGGAGTCGAACGAAAGGCACCAGAGCTGAGACGCAACCCAGTATGGTGCAAAGCATCAAGACAGCGAAGAGTAGAAGGAGAAGCAGAAGAGTATGCAGGGCAACCATAATCGAGTTTAGACAGGACGAGAGAGGAGTGCAAATAGAGGAGCGTGCGCCTATCCGCTCCCCAAGAAGTATGGGACAAAACCTTAAGGAGGTTAAGGGCCTTAGAGCATTCAACTCGGAGGTAAGAGATATGGGCTGACCAAGACAAACGAGTGTCAAAGACTAACCCCAAAAGCTTCGCGGAATCCCTGTACACAGTGGGATGACCATAAAGCGACAAAGAGGGACGAAGAACGACATGCTTCCGAGTAAAAGTCATAGCACAAGTCTTAGACGCAGAGAACTTGAAGCCATGATCGGTGGCCCTAAAAAGCACAAGGGATTCGTCAATCACCATCTTGTGAGCTGGTACATAGAAATCACTGTACTCTCCAACAAATTCATTCAGGATGTGCCTCACCTTCCAAAGTCTATCATCTTCAGTTTAGTTTTCATTACTTGCAAAACGAAGACACATGAGGAGTATCGCAAATCTGTCTCGAGACATATATTTCCCGAACAATGGTGTTGGAACAGTCTGGTCTTTGCACCAATAATGGTCGAGTACATGTTAGACAAAATGTTTCATCAACATACACAGTACCAAAAACTCATACATTTCACCTAAAGTTGTATCTTTCCATCGTTGTAATCGTGAAAAATCGGATAACTCCTCACGAATGAGTTCAGCTGCATATTTGTTCGTTTCCTGAACAATATGTCCATGAACAATCTTTGTTTCAAATGTGTTCCATTTGTTTTGTATTTGTCCTTACGTCTCAATAATGGAGCAGCCTACCCGACAAACACTGAACGAACCTTTATGGCATTTGTCCATTTTTCAAATTGTTTCAACAGTTTTTATTTTTATTTTTTTTTATTTAAGAAACATGGAGCAACCGACCTGTAGACCACTGAACGAACCTTTTTGACATTTGTACTGGTTTTCAAAATTCTTCATTTTTTTTATTATTTACATTTTTTGCATGTAAGAAACATGGAGCAGCCTACCTGCCAACCACCGAATGAACCTTTTGCTATAAGACAAATGAAAAATAAATATTGAACACATTTGAAAAAAGGAAAATGTCATAATGGTTTATTCAGTGTATGTAAGGTAGGCTTCTCCATTATTGAGACGTAAATGACAAATACAAAACAAATGGAACACATTTGAAACAAAGAAAGATTGTTATAATGGAGCAGCCTACCTGCCGAACACCGAACGAACCTTTTTGACATTTGTTGTATATCAGACATTTCATTTCTTTTTCCTACAAAAACGTCAATGCTTTGCAACATCTCAGCAGTCACCCTTTTATATCCCAGCATCATTAGCATCTTTAAACAAGAACAACATAATTTATGTGCATCGTCGGAGGCGTCTAAGAATGTGCAAGAAGCAGCGCGACCCCACCATGTGGTGTTGACGTTACTCAAACCAGCATTTGCCATACGGGACGATTTGACGCCGATCGGGCCGTTCGTTACCCAAAATGTTCGTCTTTTGGGGCTTTTATTATGCGAGGTACCACTGTAGTCCATTTCAAACATATCGTCACCTGTGTCAGGGAAAAGGTCTGTAATCCCAACATCTGAATTTTCAAAGGCAGTAATTTCTGGAACAAAATCTGTCCCATCACTCTACACATATACACCTGGTGTCTTTCGAGAGGCAACAGCGGCACCACGGCGAGGAATCCATGGACCAGGAACTGAAGCCCGTCTAGCAACAGTACAGGTGGGAAGGGACGATGAGGAAAAATTAGTTTTTGTTGAGGGGCTTTGTTCGTCAGTGTCCCCATGTGGTGCCATGCGGTGCCGCATGGTTGGACTAGATGCTGCTGACACAACAAAATGTTGCTTGGCAACACCACACACTCCACTGGCACTAGCGGCAGCAAAACTATTTTCTGATTCTAAATCACTAAAACCAGAAAATGATTCACCTTTCTCCGAATTGTCGACCAAAACATAAAAAGCTGACAAAGTAACACATGAACTATGTGGATTGGCATGAAGTGATGTCAATTGTGGGCGGAGAGGCATGGGTGAGGAGCTAGGCCTAGCCCTCGTGGCACCAGCGTGTTCACTCGGAGTAGTCAATATCAGGTTCATCACCATCCAGGAAAAAATTCTGATTAATTTCATCCTCAGTCAAAGGTCGCTATGTACGCTTTGCTGAGCGGGGTCGGTTGGTGGAACGTGATGCGCTCGCCATGGTCTCTGTCAGGCAACTGAGGCCTGCAGTCAATGGCGGCCTACGCTGGATTTTTTCCCCAGGTGGTGTCTGTTTACATTCGGGGTCAGCTTGACTATAGCTGCTCCTATCCCTCACGGGGCATTTCAAATTGTTCGCTAGACCCTCAATCATATATGTATGAATTGAGCAGTTTTGGGAAAGTTACTACCATCGTATATGTATGTATGTATTGCGTGGTTTAAGGGTTAATCCTATGTTCCCGGGGGATTTTCCACTGTTCCGCCTCTTTCAGCAGATTGGGATGGTCTGGCACATGGCTGGATTGGTCTACTCCTTTGCTCTTTGTGTCTGGTCTTTTTGGCGTGGGTGTATCACCACTTGTATGGTGATCAGGTGGGTTCATTGAAGGTGTCTCACCTGCTGGCTTCGTCTCGGTGACAATATGAAGTTTCCTGGTGTTTTTGTCACCATTTCCTCTCTCTTTGTAGGCTGTCTTCTATTTCTGTTCGGGTTGTTTTGTCCTTTCTTTCTTGGGTTTTTCACAACCGTCATTTGATGCTTATTACTGTCGCCTCTTATCTTGCAGTGCTGGCGGAGCCGCTCCAGCTTGTGTTTAGGGTGGATGTCATTTCCGTCCCATTCTGCAAGCTTTCTCATGTATAGTTTCACCTCTGGCCAGCTCATGCGCTGCCGGAACCATCTTGGTCCTTGGACTGGGTGCTCTCTTTTGCCCTCTTTTCCTCGGTTTGTGGTGGCCTCTTCAGTTCAAGATTGTTTTCCAAGGTTCTGTTTCTGTTGGCATTGACCTCTAGGGGTCGGGTTGGTGAGCTTCATGATCTCCTGCGCAGGGGTTTTTGCTCTCAGTCTTGGTGGTCGGTTTGTTCAGTTGGAGCCGTCTATTTCTTTTTTGGTGGAGATTGAGACGGCGGCTTTCTGGAGGGGGTCCTTGGAATATTGATGCTTGGTTGATCAGGCTGGGAGTACATCATGTGTTGGGTCTGGTTGCGGCTCTCCACCGTTATCTGCACACCTCGGCCTCAGTGGCCGGTTAGCAGTGCGAATTGAGAGTAGTGCAAATACCGAGGTTCCTCTGTACAAAGAAATTATGAAAATATTATGTAATTTTTATCGGGAAATATTGTGCAGTACTATAATACTACTTTTTGTTGTAAATACATCTAGCTTTACCCAAAAAATTTTCCACAGGATAACAAACCAGAGGAATGTTCAGTGTGTAATAACGATTATGATGACAATCAGCTACGGCCTCGCACACTGCCCTGCGGCCACACATTCTGCTCCCAGTGTATTGACAATGCTATCAAGAATGGTCAGCTGACCTGCCCCAGCTGCCGTGCCGAGCACGCTGCCACAGCTGCTACTCAGTTCCCAATTAGCTATGCTGTGGAGGCTTTAGTTAGGAAACTCAAAAATATCCAGCTAACAACTGAGGAAGTAGTGCCAGCAAAACCTTATGAAGGTCCCACCAGAGGCATCAGTAAGACATTACGTTCCCTGGTGCAGGAGCAGAAGAGCATCATCAGCAGCCTCATTACTAGCTGTGAAGAGGTACTGTCCCAGCTGGGGGAGTACCGGGGGCAGCTGGGGGACTGGAAGACTCACCACCTCCAGCTCCAGGACAGACTCTGTGTTCTGGTAGAGCAGAACAAGTCAGCAATGAAGCTCTTGGAACTGGAGGATACCAGTGTGGTGGATATGACAACACAAGGAGAGGAAGGAAAGACTCAGCTGCAGGCCATGTTGGGGAACCTCGACACAGGCAACACAGCACAGGAAGTATTCATGACCATCAATGAAGTTGACCAATGCAACATGGCGGTAGAAAATTGGCTCAAGAAGTGCCAGGAACTCTTCCCAAATGTCAAGACTGTCCACACCTCAGTGAAGGTACGTTGTTGAAGGTCACATTGTTCTCACCCAACTGAGTGTAGTATTGCCTCTATATAAACACTTTTGACATGGAGACACATCAAGATGAGAGTAAACTTTATATATAGTAAACATTTTTATTAATAAAGTCAACTGTCATCTTGGTGTTTCTCTACACTGTGGTCAGTGTAGAGACACAACATTACTTATATTTTTCAGTTACTTTACTCAGAGCCTGATGCTTCATTATAGTCCAGTTACTTTACTCACAGCTTGATGCTTCATTATAGTCCAGTTACTTTACTCACAGCTTGATGCTTCATTATAGTCCAGTTACTTTACTCAGAGCCTGATGCTTCATTATAGTCCAGTTACTTTACTCAGAGCCTGATGCTTCATTATAGTCCAGTTACTTTACTCAGAGCCTGATGCTTCATTATAGTCCAGTTACTTTACTCAGAGCCTGATGCTTCATTATAGTCCAGTTACTTTACTCAGAGCCTGATGCTTCATTATAGTCCAGGTGCCACCATTAATGTTTGTGTTGGTAATGACAGGTGCAGGAGACCATCAGGGAGGCCCTGGAGATGACGACCACAGAGACAGGTGCCACAGCTGACCCCGTACACCTGGGAGACTCAGCCTCCACCATTAATGTTTGTGTTGGTAATGACAGGTGCAGGAGACCATCAGGATGGCCCTGGAGATGACGACCACAGAGACAGGTGCCACAGCTGACCCCGTACACCTGGGAGACTCAACCTCCACCATTAATGTTTGTGTTGGTAATGACAGGTGCAGGAGACCATCAGGGAGGCCCTGGAGATGATGACCATAGAGACAGGTGCCACAGCTGACCCCGTACACCTGGGAGACTCAGCCTCCACTATTAATGATTGTGTTGGTAATGACAGGTGCAGGAGACCATCAGGGAGGCCCTGGAGATGATGACCACAGAGACAGGTAACACAGCTGACCCCATACACCTGGGAGACTCAACCTCCACCATTAATGTTTGTGTTGGTAATGACAGGTGCAGGAGACCATCAGGGAGGCCCTGGAGATGATGACCACAGAGACAGTTGCCACAGCTGACCCCGTACACCTGGGAGACTCAGCCTCCACCATTAATGATTGTGTTGGTAATGACAGGTGCAGGAGACCATCAGGGAGGCCCTGGAGATGATGACCATAGAGACAGGTGCCACAGCTGACCCCGTACACCTGGGAGACTCAGCCTCCACCATTAATGTTTGTGTTGGTAATGACAGGTGCAGGAGACCATCAGGGAGGCGCTGGAGATGACGACCACAGAGACAGGTGCCACAGCTGACCCCGTACACCTGGGAGACTCAGCCTCCAGCATCATGAATAAAGTTCTGGAAATCACTGGAGAGATCCCCCAGAAGCAATTAACAGTAAGTTTTTTATTTTCTCTCATAGGTCATATCACAAGATATTGAGCTGCGTTTTGAGGAGAGGAAGCCTGTTCCTAGGTTTATCGGGGTTCCCAAGGTCAACTACTGACTTTCCTTAATATAAAATTTACAATAGTTTCCTACCTCTGGGATAAATATTTACTGGTTGGTGAACAGGCGGAACAGGGGAAAGGAAACATGTGAACAATTTCTGTCCTGCATGGTGATTGAACCTGCGATCCTCTATTGAACCCGGGATCCTGGCCCCCCTCACAGAGGCACAGAGAGCTGGTGACACTCCACCAAGTGGAGTGGTGGAGTGTCACCACTCTCCATCTTACCGGGAAAACATTCAGGAAGACAGTGAAACAAAATAGACCACTGCTGGCTTCGAAAAGACTGAAGCCTTGAAACTGCCAACAAACTTCTAAACAATGCCAGCACCAACCCCCTGCCAGTAGAGGGGGGCTGGAGCTACAGGTTCAGCACCAACCCCCTGCCAGTAGAGGGTAGCTGGAGCTACAGGTCCAGCACCAACCCCCTGCCAGTAGAGGGGAGACTGGAGCTACAGGTCCAGCACCAACCCCCTGCCAGTAGAGGAGGCTGGAGCTACAGGTCCAGCACCAACCCCCTGCCAGTAGAGGGGAGGCTGGAGCTACAGGTCCACCACCAACCTCCTGCCAGTAGAGGGGGGGTTGAAGTTATAGGGTCCAGCACAAACCTCCCCTGCCAGTAGAGGGGGGCTGGAGCTACAGGTCCAGCACCAACCCCCTGCCAGTAGAGGGGGGCTGGAGCTACTGGTCCAACACCAACGCCCTGCCAGTAGAGGGGGCTGGAGCTACTGGTCCAGCACCAACCCCCTGCCATTAGAGGGGGCTGGAGCTACAGGTCCAGCACCAAACCCCTCCTGGTAGAGGGGGGCTGGAACTACAGGTCCAGCACCAAACCCCTCCTGGTAGAGGGGGGCTGGAGCTACAGGTCCAGCACCAACACACTGCAAGTAGAGGGGGGGGAGCTGGAGATACAGGTCCAGCACCAACGCCCTGCCAGTAGAGGGGGCTGGAGCTACTGGTCCAGCACCAACCCGCTGCCAGTATAAGGGGGCCTGGAGCTACAGGTCCAGCACCAAACCCCTGCTGGTAGAGGGGGACTGGAGCTACAGGTACAGCACCAACCTACTGCCAGTAGAGGGGGGCTAGAGCTACAGGTCCAACACCAATCCCCTGCCAGTTGATGGGGCTGGAGCTTCAGGTCCAGCACCCACCTCCTGCCAGTAGAGGGTGGCTGGAGCTACAGGTCCAGCACCAACCCCCTGCCAGTAGAGGTGGGCTGGAGCTACTGGTCCAGCACCAACCCCCTGCCAGTAGACGGGGGGCTTGAGCTACAGGTCCAGCACCAACCCCCTGCCAGTAGAGGGGGGCTTGAGTTACAGGTCCATCACTAACCCCTTGCCAGTAGAGGATGGGGGGGCTGGAGCTACAGGTCCAGCATCAACCCCCTGCCAGTAGAGGGGGCTGGAGCTACAGATCCAGCACCAACCCCATGCCAGTAGAGGGGGGCTGGAGCTACCGGTCCAACACCAACTCCTGCCAGTAGAGGGGGGCTGGAGCTACAGGTCCAGCCCCGTCCCCCAGCCACTAGAGGTGCGCTGGAGCAATAGGTCCAGCACCAACCCCCTGCCAGTAGAGGCGGGCTGGAGATAGAGGTCCAGCACCAACCCCTTGCCAGTAGAGGGGGAGCTGGAGACACAGGTCCAGCACCAACCCCCCTGCCAGTAGAGGGAGGCTGGAGGTAATGGTCCAGCACCAACCCCCTGCCAGTAGAGTGAGTGGAGCTACAGGTCCAGCATCAACCCCCTGCCAGTAGAGGGGGCTGGAGCTACAGGTCCAGCACCAGCTTCCTCTGCTAGTAGAGGGGAGCTGAAGCTAAAGGTCCAGCACCAACTCTATTGCCAGTAGAGGGGGGCTGGAGCTACAGATACAGCACCAACCCCCTGCCAGTAGAGGGGGTGGAGCTACAGGTGCAGCATCAACCCCCTCCCAGTAAAGGGGGCTGGAGCTACAGGTTCAGCACCAACCCCCTTGCCAGTAGAGGGGGTGGAGCTACAGGTGCAGCATCAACCCCCTGCCAGTAAAGGGGGCTGGAGCTACAGGTCCAGCATCAACCCCCTGCCAGTAGAGAGGGGCTGGAGCTACAGGTCCAGCACCAACCCCCTGCCAGTAGAGGGGGCTGGAGCTACAGGTCCATCATCAACCCACTGTCAGTAGAGGGGGCTGGAGCTACTGGTCCAGCACCAACCTCCTTCCAGTAGAGGGGGGAGGGGGCTGGAGCTGCAGGTCCAGCACCAACCCTCTGCCAGTAGAGGAGGCTGGAGCTACAGGTCCAGCACCAACCTCCCCTGCCTGTAGAGGGGGCTGGAGCTACATGTCTAGCACCAACTTCCTCTGCTAGTAGAGGGGTGCTGAAGCTAAAGGTCCAGCACCAACCTACTGCCAGTAAAGAGGGGCTGAAGCTACAGATCCAGCACCAACCCCTTGCCAATAGAGGGGCGCTAGAGCAACTGGCCCAGCACCAACCCCCTGCCAGTAGAGGCGGGCTGGAGCTACAGGTCCATTTCCAACCCCCTGCCAGTAGAGGCGGGCTGGAGCTACAGGTCCATCTCCAACCCCCTGCCAGTAGAGGGGCTGGAGCCACCGGTCCAACACCAATTCCTGCCAGTAGAGGGGGGCTGGAGCTACTGGTCCAGCACCAACCCCTTGCCAGAAGAGGGGTTCTGGAGCTACAGGTCCATTACCAACCCCTTGCCAGTAGAGAGGGGCTAGAGCTACAGGTCCAGCAACAACCCCCTGCCAGTAAAGGAATGCTGGAGCTACAGGTCCAACATCAACCCGCTGCCAGTAGAGAGGGGCTGGAGCTACAGGTCCAGCCCCAACCCCTTGCCAATAGAGGGGCGCTGGAGCAACTGGCCCAGCACCAACCCGCTGCCAGTAGAGAGGGGCTGGAGCTACAGGTCCAGCCCAACCCCTTGCCAGTAGAGGGGCGCTGGAGCATCAGGTCCAGCACGAACCCCCAACCAGTAGAGGCGGGCTGGAGCTAGAGGTCCAGCACCAACCCCTTGCCAGTAGAGGGGGGGCTGGAGATACAGGTCCAGCACCAACCCCCCTGCCAGTAGACGGGGGCTGGAGCTACAGGTCCAGCACCAATCCCCTGCCAGTAGAGGGGGCTGGAGCTACAGGTCCAGCATAATATGGCTGACACTGA